AACGAGAACGATCTGGTGCACATCAACGTGAACTTTTTTTATTCAATGATCTACTTCTTATTACTAAAAGTGTTCAAAACGCAGACGTGATGCATCAGTTGCATATCAAGTACGGATGACTATTCAATTATTCGGAGTAAAATTGGTCCCATTTGAAACTGTTCATCATCCTAATGGTTTAGAGCTACTGGCACCACTTGAACAAAATCAAAATGTAGACTCTCATAGAGAAGTTGGTATGAATCATATCGTTGAAACACCCAATGGTCGAGCGCGTATCTTAATCACTTTAAATACAAAAACAAGTTCAGATCGTGCTAGATTACTAGAAGATTTGCAAGAATGTATATTAGAAGTCACAGAGATGGAGCGTTTAAAACGAGAAGAAATTTCAAAACAAAAGTATAATCAAGTTCATCATCATTGTTCAAGTCATAAATCAGGAATAGACAAATCAGTAAATCATCCTAAATCACTTGACAATTCAGGTGTCTCTTTTAACATAAATAATAGTCATACTTATTCTGATCATGATAATACTTTATCATCACATATTTGTGCACCTATAGCTTGTTTGATGAATGCTACAGAAACAAGAATTACAGAACAAACAAATCATATGCCTGAATTCTGTCAGCATTATAAATTACCAGATGGGCAAAGATTAAGTGGTGACAGTGGACTAATGGCTGATTTGGATGCAGTATCTTCTTAATTCAATTCAATCTATAAATAATACAATTATTCCAATTCTAATTTCATTTTCATCCTTTTTTAATTTAGAAAATACGAATGTTTCGAAAAATTGCTTTTTATTCATTTCGTGTTTATTTTATACGGGAGTTTATATAATGTGTGTGTGTGTGTTGCACTAGTCAACATATTTTCACTGTGATATTATTTTACGTTAATGGACTAGTTATTTGGCAAGAGAAAAAAATTGTCATATTAACAAGTTCTTGCGAAAATTTCATCTGTTAACTTTGTACAAACATTGAATTATGTTCATTTCGATATTGTATATATTCAATAAAGATTTTTCTTCTAATTTCAAGTGCTATGTATAATACTGTTTATTTGAAGAGTAAAGTAAAAACAAGCAAGTCTGGGCATGATTAGAAAGACAAAAGGGGACTTGGACTTTTTCTTGATTTATTTATCTATTTTAATACATAGATATTGGTTCAAGGAGGCACCAAATACATATGCGCCACACAGATCTCATTTGATATGTGTAGGGGCTATGATACTGCCCGGGTGCCCAAACCGAAGCAGGTGGTTTTCTTAGAGGGTCACACCCGGAGCCTTCGACCTGAAGGTCTGATCCACAAGGCAATTGAGCATCGTAAGTAGATGCATTCCCATGGTACACGGTGACCAACGATTGGTTCATACGCCATTTGTTCCTTCAGGATACTGGATCCCATGTGCACCATTGGTTTGGAATCAGAGTTTTTCAACTCCCCTAGGTGGACTCTCCGTGTTCACCAACCCGGTTAAAGCGCCGGACCTTCGCTTTTCGTGAACAACACCCCCGTTACGAGAAGGCAGTGAGTAGGACTTCCCTGGGGAAGGCTATATACGCGTGGTCATATGGGAGCATTTGGAGACGGAGAGCGGACTCTCCCCACTGTCTGCCGTACCAGGGCATTTCTTGATTACATACGCTACTTGGTTTAGCTTAGTTAATGTTATAGGATGCCTATTCATTAAGTTAGTATTTTCATCACTAATTTACCAGTGATTTTATTTTAGTCGAAACAAGATATAATTAGATTCAGTATTTCAAGAAAAGTAATTTACTAAGAGGTGTGTTGAGTATACATAAATAACACTATGATTTTAGTCAATTATGATGTGAACCAAGCTGTATCTCAACTTCCTAAGAAATTTTATAGTATCAGTTAGTCATCAACGCAGGACCAGGCGCACATGCATATGTCCGACTTACCACATCCCATTGACATAACAAGATGAACACCAAGTTCATAGGAGCAATTAATTCAATGGTAGTAATATATATAGACATTGCATGTAAGGATACGATACAGCGGATCAATCTCACCACTTAATGTTTTATTTGAAGGCAAAATCTCACGACGTCAAAGGATCTAAAATTATCGATTCTGTTCACATTTTTCCACTGACTGTTTTACTCTCTTAGTATACCTGGATATGAACAAGTTTCATTTCTATGTATTAGATAGATGGGAAGAATAACTCAACTGACCTTCAGTCCTGCTGCGTTGTATCGAAGTGGTTGCTTCATGGAGGAGTCCGTGATAGGCGGTTGACAACAACTAGTTTGAAACGATGTAGAATACCAGAACACCTTGTCTCCCAGATTCCAAACGATACGGTTACATAAATTCTACCTAAGTTTTGAACATCCCAGCTATTTCAATTCACTTTTGATTTATCCCCCTACTATTTTCTGTTAGTTTTAATGATTTTAGTCATGTTGTTCTTATTATCCATTAATTACGTGCCATGATAAGTTGTATATTGAAATGAGTATTGATTACTAAGTTAGATATATGTGTCTACGCATCTTGATATTGATCATTTACTCCCTTCTTACTTTTTTAATTTACTTTAAAAATTTCCTACGTTTTATTGTTCCAATGAAGCATAATTAAGATTCTGTACCCATAAAAAAGTACGGATGTAATTAGGATCTCAGTCAATCTAATTGATAAAGCTGGACCACCATCTTAAAAGATTTCTGGGACTAATCCGTCTGGATCTGCAGTTGTCCATCATTTTAAATTCCCTACAACTTTTTCAAATTCACCAACAATTGGAGGACGTACGCCAGTTTGCTTGAAGATGGTGGGAAATTAAAGTGGCCCAAGGCCTGTTGAACTGTTCTGCACATCGGTCTACTCTCCTGAATTGAGAGTGAACAATAGTCCTGTCTTTTTCCTAGATACTTTCACTAATAAGCGGATTTTTAATACTCGTTTCCCTGATAAGTTCGAACAGTCGTCTACTTTTACCTATCGCTGCTGTCTTTTCCATCTCTTCTGGTTTCCCTACCCACTGCTTCTCACGATCACGTAGGCTTATTATCAGCCTACGCTTAAGCTGCCTCCGCTCCTCACCGTGTTCGGAACCAGACGGGATGAGTTTCTGAGCATCTATCAGTTCTGCAGATGCCACTGAAATTCCTAACCTTTTGGTTTGTTACTAGTGCAGATCACTGCTGTTTCCACAGGTTTTTAGATATCATACCAAGCTATCTCGAGGTGGATATCGTTTTCACAGTTGATTTAGCTTTCTCTAGTTAGTTGTGAAATATATTCTCAACTTTTTCATCATTAGGCTGAACTCTAAGGGCTTCTCTTGCTGTGGCATTTCTACATCCAGTAAGATACAAAGACGTTCTCGAACCATAGCATGGTATGAGTTTAAACATGTGCCCTGGGATGAGCGACAGTCTTCTATCGAGCCACCCTGACGATGGCTGATGGCAATGTGATCAAGTTGAGTCGGTTGTGGGGTCACCACATGAGAAGATGTCCTTTCTTATATTTAAAGTTAGTGTTTACTAGGAATAGATGGTCATTAGAACATAGCTGCAGCAGACGGTTGCCGTTTGTCGAACCTTAACACCGTAAGATTCGCCTAAGAGCCTTCCGATTTAGTCTACCTACATGAGCACCAAAATCACCCACCACTATTATTAAATCAGAGCGTTTAGCTTTTGGAAGGTTGGATAGCTTCCTATAAAATCTATCTTTGACTTCATCTGAGCTGCAATCAGTGGAAGTGTATGTAGAGAAAACGAAAAGGCGACGACGTATGTCTTGATCCCAGCGAGTTATTATATGTATATTTTATCCGGACAGTTCACAAGCAACTGTCTAATTAAACAGTTGAACAAAACCTAATCTGCTTTTACACTTGATGCTACACTTACACAAATGAGGCCACGGGAGGTAGAAGTGAGGTCTCCAGATACTCGAAAGGTAAATCGTGCCAGTTCATCATAGTGACAAGGTCAAGTCAAATGAATGATTGCACTTGGATCCTGTATGTGCATTTCGAAGATGCAGCATACATCGATGGCGCGGAATTCTAGAGTCCTAGCTGAAGAAGCCTGACACAAGGTTCCAACAATGGGAGTTTCAACATGTAGTTTAGAGGGCGGTTTCATGAGATCAGAAATAACATTTTGTGAACTCAAAACATTAGCATTGGTGGCGTGTGATGATAAAGATAAATGAGAAGGGTTAGTTGTAGGGATGAAGGAATAATTAAGAGGTGAGGGATTTGATTGTGAACAAAATGTTCTCGTGTTCTGTTAAAAGTATGAAGGTGGTTGTCACTTCCCAGCTGCTACCCATCATGGATGGATATTCCTCCTTGGGGGACCTGAAAAAGAGACTAAATTAGTATTAGCACCAGGAATCCAGGAGCATAACCCCAGAGCCTAAGGAACAACTGCTCGAGGCCGGTCGCGCAAGACCATTTACCGGGGAGTTTTTGATGAGTTAGCTCCGCAACTCAAAGCCTTCCCGCCGGTGAGATATGCTGAGGTGTGACATTATTGGGATCAACCTTACCTAACCCCTTCCGTTCTGAGAAGGCAACATCGCCGTAGACGTTGGTCGCCCGAGGCAAACACCCTACTACTGCCACTCCCCTCTACAGCCAGCGGCAGGACTTCGCCGTCGGACCTTAAGTTGCTGTTTTTAGTCTTATCATTTCACAATCTATTTGCTTAGGACGGTGAAACCTAAAGGAACATGTGTCCCAGCCAGTATAGCTCAGTTGATTCATGATGATAGGCAAGCCCGATCACTACGTCAGAGTAGCAGCTACGATCGGGTTGTTATATGAAGACAGTAAAAGTTTATTTGTATACGTGAAATGTAATGCATCGAATTAGTGGAACAATTCAATCTTAAAAGCGCATCATAAACAGATAAACACACAGAAATCAATGGAGCTACCAGAGATAACCTTCATTAGTGTTGAGGTAAAAAGCCTTATTTAGTAACAAAAATCTTTTATTAAGAATACTTTAAGATTGTAAACTTAGAGATTTGCATTATAGAACATCAAACAGTTTCTTTATAAAAAATTATTCTCAATAGTTTGGTAGCATAAGGAAGCAAAAAGTCCAAAAATATTATCCATATGATAGTTAAGTTTAAAGCATTATTATGCTGGATTGTGATATATGTTTATATAAACATGGGGTGGTATAGATGTTAGAACTGAAAATCGACGTGCACGCACAAGTGAATTAAGGTTTTACTTTCTTTTGAGACGTTCTAAACGAGCTTCCAAATTATTTTCATCAATAGGATCAACCGAATCAGAATTAGGCCCAGGTCCCGCTACTGGAGTAGGATCAGTAGCGACTGCATGGGGTCGGACTGCACTTGAAACTGTACTTCCAATAGTATCCTTAGCTGTTGGGAGATTACTCAACTGTGCATTAAGATCGATGCCAAGTTCTTCTAAAACCTAGGGTTTTCAAACATAAGTTTATTCAAAAACTAGAAAAATAATATTGCGAACTAGACCCTAATGGTATTCGTTATATGAAGTCCAGGGAACATGATGAAAATGCTTGTGACAAATTTATAGTCTAAGAGAAATAGGAAACCTTTTAATATGTCAAAATTCAAGATATTGTGAAATATAAATCCTAAACTACGTTGGAACAAGTACTCTTGGAACTTAAAAGAACTTATTTATCGAACTACATAAACTGAGATGTTAGCAGCTGATTTTACATTTCAGAGTGCTAAATGTTGACAGTACTTCGAACCATATGAATACTTTCGTAACAAATCATATATAATCGGGAAAATAACGGAACATATAACCGGTGGAAGTCACCACCATGATCTCGAGTTTCGGCTATACTTAGGAATAAAGCTCATCTTTTATCACAATAATAATCTTGATGTACATATATTGATCATTCATCATTACTGGCGAGATTACTGAGTTAGTTGATTTTCAAGTTTTCTTCTACACACCTCACAAAACATGGGAAATTATAAGGTTTTATCAAACGAGCAATACCTGAGGTCAGATGCTGCACAGTATCATATTCTGTTATCTTGGTAAAATTATTTACGAACTGTTTAGCACTTGCTGGAATTCGACCTTTCAGAAATGTCAACTCGAATCGGAGTGTGTGAATAGTCTACGAATAAAAACCGACACTAACCTTATTCACAACAGTTTCGGAGTCTTCAATGTCATCCTGATCTCCAATAGCATCATCTATTACATCTGACATCATATCTTGTTTCATTTCCATCGTTTCGGTTTGTTTTTCGAACTCCATCATAATCTTTTGGAATTGAGGTAATTGCATAGTTGAATTCATTTTTCTCATCGTTAGCGCAACCTGTTTCATAGCTGAAGCCATCGTGGCGGTTGATTTTAAAGTCTGAATTTTCATTGATAACGCCTATTATTAGAAAATACTCGACTGATAAAACGTGACAAACTGTAATATTTGAGTGCATCAAGGAAAACTTTTTGATGTAACTCTCTGTTCGAACTAACTGCTTCGCCATTACCTTGACGGCATCAATCTGACCACGCTTTGCCAACGCACGAATTTCATTTGTTATTCGAACGCGCTCCCTCTCCAACTGAGTTTTTTCTCTATCTATCTCTCTAAGTGTTCTTGCAATAGTTCGTTTGCTATCTCTTAGCTGTTCTTCAGGTGTTTTTCTGGTTCCAAAAAGAAAACTCATGGAAGGACTTCACGGAAGTAGCCCCAACAGTAACGTTCCGATTTATAATAACCTCTTAAAATTACCAGCTTTTGATTTTAGGCGTTAGTAGAATAAATCAGGTGGTCCATGTTAGTTCATAATGTAATTAGTTCTGTGAAAATCTAGGTACTCGTTGAAAGCACTCACTTATGAGCTTAATACCATCACTTCACCTAACTGTTCAAGGTGTTCCAGACGTCGACCAACCAATGAAATAAATCTGGGTTATAGGAGAGGGATTTTGATGATGTAAAAGTGGAGTTCTTGCTAAGTTTGTCAACCCATGACACGTAAAATAATAGCGGTGTTTTTCCTCTCTAAGTTCAACTCCTTATGATTTCAATTGATGTTTGCAAATCAAGACTGTCTTCGCTAGTTTTTAGTTAATTTCAGTTAAAATATTACCAAGGGTGTCCTTATTTTTCGGGAAAGGATTTTCTGCATCAGAACTGTTGGTGAGTACGAAAGTTTTTCTTTTTATAAAACTTTTTGGGTCTAATCGTTTAATTGTTTGCTTCTAGACCTACCACTTTAGTTTGTGTTGGTAAATAAATCCCTAAAATAAATAGCTCCGTAAGTCTTCGACATTTGATGTTGGCCTAATTGGTTTGACCGGACACACTCTAGCTGCAGGTACTTGGTCACGCATCGGCACCAGATCACGAGTGAGTAGGCCATGTCACGCGACCCTAGCAATTACTGACCAGCTTAGAACAAACGCCTAGACACGTCGATAACTTTCCAAAAATATCCCCGAACCTCTTCGTTCCTGACTCCTTAGTTGACTGGGCTAGTATACTCTGAATCCCCGTGACACCTTTGGCAGTGAGCCCGACGTGATCTAGTACACCAAACCGTAAACTGTGGATTTGTTCCCAATTGGAACATTACATATGGTTTTTTAATTTCTATCCCCACATATAGTGATGGTAGTTTGACACTTTCGGATATTTTTTCTCGCCCATCTGTATGTCTTCTGTTTGTCATGACGGAACAGATACCTATACTATCTGAGGTGAAAACGTTTTCGCCGCCCTCATTTCAGCTTATGCTATTTTAGCCCGACAGCATTGGAGCTTGGTTCCATTGCACAGAAGCTGACTTCCACGAGCACGGCGTGGCAAGTTCACATGCACGGTTCCTCGCAGTAGTGAGGGTACTGCCGCAGTTGCAAAAGGTACGTCGCTTTTGTATGTTTATATGAGATGCCTTGGAACATTCTGAAACTTCAAAGAAGGTCATTCTTAAGCGTGAAAATCTAACCGACAGATAACGATTAGACTAACTCTCCGACAGCAACGATCTTCAACACTGCTCGGCAATAGACATGTTACTACGAACACAAGGGGTCATTGGTAAACGGATCTTTGACGAGGGCCCATTTAGACAGCTCCTCCTGTCTAAACTTCAACCGGTGCAGGGAGTGTTTGTCTCACTTCAAAACTACTTTGTAGACGAACTGGCTGCATATGCGAACCGGAATCTGGAGATCATCAGAGCCTGAAGCTCCGAGATTTATTCCGCCAAAGAAATCCCCAAACAACACAAAATGACATTTCAGATGTCTCTTATGTTCCGATTCGTTATCATAATATTCATCATAATCGTAGATGCTCCCAAACTCCCGGAAGAAGCTCGTCACGAAAAAAATCTGTCTCTTGACTTCAAGAAATAGATAATCCTGTCTGGTGATGATACCGTGATAAATATGATAAGTCTTCTAGGAATTGCAGAAAACCCTTCGGAAAACTCAACTGGAACGCGCTAAGGGCAACCGTAGTCAGTGGATATAGCCGTGGTGACGAAAGTCCACCACCTCAAAGACATGGGTGCATCATCACCCCTTTCTGACTCCACGAGTTTTCGCACATGTCTTTCGGCTTAAGAAACGCTGCACAAACATCCCAGCGATTCATCGATGACGTTTATCGAGACTTCAACTTCGTACATGCATGTGTGGATGACTACTTGATCGCAAGTTCGAATAGAGAATCACATATCCATCATCGGTTCCTTATTTTCAAACATCTGCAAAATTACGACGTTTAGAAATGTCAGCTTGGAATCGACTCCCTAGGCTTTCTCGGACGCACTATTGATGCTCAAGGTTCACGCCCTCTGAAAGCAAATTAGCGGCTATTCACGATTACCCAGAACCGATCACAGTGAAGCAAGTATGCACGTTCAACAGCCTGGTAATTCTTTATCGACTATTCATACCGAATACTGCGTCTGTTATATGACTCTTAACCTAGCGACTTCATGGAAATGCGAAATCCATCAATTTGAACGACATCGCGAAAAAATCATTCTTCACGGAAAAGGAAATCATAGAGAAATCAACTATGCTCGCACGTCAGGACATCAAAGCATTAATTGGTGTTTCAGTAGAGTCATCCGACTTGACGATAGGAGGGATTTACTTCAATGAGTAAATAACTCCTGACAACCTCTAGCATTCTCCTTGAGACGAATGCAAGACGCCGACCTTAAACTCGTCTAGCTTCAAAAAGAAGGCACTGATCTTCCGCACGAGTTATCTTTAACAACCATAAAACTGCATATTAAACGGATGGAAGCAGGTGAGGAAACCTCATTATGCGACACGTCTACGGGTAGGAGCCATCCAGTCGTGACGGAAAACTATCGACACAATGTCTTCAATACGTTCTACGAGCTTTCTCTTCCAGGTGTTCATGCAACCATCAAGCTTACAGCAGGACGATTTTGCTGACCTGGTAAGCTGACAGAAATCTAAGGTGATTGGAAACAACAAATGTCCCTTAGGCTGTCTCACAACTTCCAATACTCGTTTCGACCATTTCCATCTTGATTTGATAGGGTCCGCACCGCATTCAAATTGACATGTTACCCCTTGACTTGTACAGACCGTTTCGCGTGATGGTCAGGAGCGGTGCCTATCAAGGTCATTTCTGCTGAAATAGTAGTTGTGCCTTCGTTAAAGATGGGTAGCAAGCTTAAAGTGCCCTTTAACTATCATTGCAGACCGTGGACGCCCGTTCGGATCTGGACATTTCCGATGTCTGTATATACTACTAAGAATCACACGATCCCAAACGACCGCCTACCACCTACAAGCTAATGGGTTGGTGGGACTGTTTTGCCGAGAGATCTTCTGGAGTTACTGCCGGTCCCAAGCCCGGGTGAAGGAGGAGGGTTGGGGGAAACTAACTCGCTAAGAAAACGCTAACCAGAAAACCTAATTCAAACCAACACAACTCATTTACGGAACGATACTCTGACTCCCAGGAAAATTTGGGGACCGTTCATCTTCAATGAATATAGATCTAATTTCTTGCACCAGGAGGCTCAGAAACGCCATGTGTTGAGTTACACCTGTTCCCAATCGACGGCAGTCAACTGATGTTTTCGTTCAACATGCTTTACAACACAGTACACACGTTTTCGTACGTAGCGACTCACTACGACGACCTCCCAAAATGGTATACGAAGGACTCTTCAAATTTCTTCATCACAAACCTGAATACTATATCATTTACAAAAACGGAACTAACGATAACGTTAGTATTGACCATCCTAAAGCAGCGTATTTAGAAGGAAATCCCAGTGGTGTTGAGTTCCCTCCTTTACTCTTGAAAGACACAAGCCTCACTATTACGATGCCTTTCCTGACAATCAACAATTAAGAAGAAACTTCAGTGGTATCTAACAAACGGCTCAAAACAACACGTTCTGGGGGAAGGATAAGGTTTTCAGAGCACTTAAACGATTACTGCGCGTAGCACTCAACATAACATTTCATTTCATCTCTATATTTTGAATTACTGTGTCAAAATAAACTAAAAACAAAAATTTTCTTCGAATATGCTCATATATGTGTATATATTTACTTTCTTCTTTCTTCCAAAAAATACCAAAATAAAACATTGCACAAAAATCCTTTCTACGCTATTGTATGCTAATAAAATGCATATATACAAGTTTATTTACCTTTTTCGCCCATTATGTGGCCTTATGCATGTACGAATGTTTTTCGACATTCATTTACAGTTACTTTTTTTCCAGGGCCACTGGAAAAGATGGCAAATCTGACGAAGAATCGCGATGAATCGAAAATTTTGTCACACTGTTTTTCATTGCTATCGTGTACCACATGGCCTCTTATGTCAGGGAGGAACAACCCGATTCTGTTGAACATAGCAAGCTATCAGAAGTGTTTATCAACGACATGCTCGTTTGGTTTGAACTTCTGGTTCGACATGTATTCTGGTCATCACTACCCCACTAGGGAGGGAGTGAGCTGTAGCGGTAAATAAATCCCCATAATAAATAGCTCTGTACGTATTTGACATTTTATTAAGTTGTCTGACGACATTTGTATGCTAGTATGATGGTGTAAGAAGATAGTTACCAACATCGAATTTATAGATGCCCGATGGATAGAGGATCAAACAATTCAGTGGTAAAGTCCCTGACGCTAAAGTTAAGTGACGCGAGATCATATCCTCCAGGGAGCATCAGTCCCTACTTTGCAGTTGTACTTGTCACTTTTTACACCCAAGTTCTTCACTTAAAGTAGACAGGTAACTCATTGGACCTATCGATACTGTTCAACTAAACTTGGTTGCTAAGGGACACTCACTACCACCCTAAAAAGTCAAGAGAACCGCACAATCGACTGCCTACTACCAGTGGTTTCGCATCTATGGAGCCTGTTATCCATCAGCTGGTTGGGACAACACAAAATAAAACCAGCACCAAGTTAGTGTGAGTTTCTTCTTGTTTATTCTTTATTAACTTTTTACTCTTCTGTACACTATGTTAACTAGCAATTAATACTATTTCTCCACTCGTTACCTTATTTACAATTCATATACTTCTATACTTTTCCGCCTGCTTTAACAAACAACTATCCTACATTAAACCCTTCTTTATGCTTATACTGTCTGATAAACTTGTAAAATGGTACTTATAGAAGTAGTGTTTTCCAACACGATGTGAAACATAGAGGGTTATGTGAGGTATGAAATATATTCAAAAATAAGCTTAAATGAGCCTTACACCACAAAAGGAGGGAGGGTGGAGTTACTGACCAGCAAGCATTGATTGTGAGGGCGATGACTTCAATCCACCCGTGTTTGTGGGGCAGGATATTTTGCATGTTCCAGACTCTTTATGATTGAGAATAAGTCAATCAATCTGTGATATAGATTGTGTTCCTACGCTCACCACTC